TGTAGGTACACGATTGCAGCACGCTGCCCTATCGATTATGCAGATTGTGATCAATCTTCTCCCCTCTCCCAGTTTCCAAGCCTATCTCCGAAGACCTCCAAATAAGTTGGTCTGTAACTGGCCATTCTCCCAAAGTAGGGAGGAAAAAAGTAATTTTTTTAAAAAACACAATAAATCCTCAAGTGTTCCCAGTGAAAGGATCTGGGTCTCTTTTTAATTCCAAAGTGAATTTATGTTCTGTAATTTGCATTACAGCCGAGCGATCACCGTATGTCATGTTCTTTAAAGGTACTTAACAAACCCCCTTTTAAAAGTCTGGAGAAATGGAGGCCAAGAAAAGGTAGTCAGCCTCCTTCTCCCATATAGTCCTTAGATCAAGTTTCAATAATTGAGACCAATAAAAATTGTCATATTTACTCTACTTCAAAGCAACAAGGGGTAGAAGAGTGGGTGATTTTTGAAAGCACTTGTAATCAAAGAATTGGCCACAGTCGAAGGAATTGTACAACATTTTCAAAAGTCAGATTCTAAGCAACAGATTAATTTGCAAAGTAAAATGTATTTTTAAATTTTAATAGCTCCACAGAGCCTACGAGTCCTGAGTCCATACACAATTTAAACACACTGCATAAAATACACTTAGACCTAGTCCCCAAAAGATATGCAAAAAGATGTACAGCGACGTACATGAAAATTAATAAAGCAAAATTCAGGAACACGGGTTCCGCATCTAATGGGAAAAATAACATAGAAAAGAAGAGTTGAGCAGGACGAGGGGCGAGAGTGGGGAACGGAACGTAAACAATCCCAGGTTCTCGAGAGAGAGAAAAAAAAAAGAGAGAGAAAGAAAGAAAAAGAAGAGAGAAAGAAAAGGAATCCTCCTATGCGTCTCCACTCAGCTGGCCGGAGAGAGGCCGGCCGGGCTCGGGCTCGGCGTGGCCGGCGGCGCAGCCCCGAGCCCCCGGGAGCCCCTAGTGTCCAGGGCAGAGTCCCCTCCGGACGCTCGCGGCGCTGCCAGCGGGGCAGGGCGGACAGCGCGCAGGTAGAGGGTCGGG